TTTGCTCCTGGAAGATGTGAATATTCATCTACTGAACCATATTTGGTGTCTCACCACCAGATATTGGCCCACGCAGCAGCTTTTTCCATACCGGTAAGCAAGTACAAGGTACTTTTTAATATTTTTAACATATTATTCATGCACTTAACCTTTAAAATGAAGATGGTCATGTACGAATATTTTGGTCCTTACTTCCTATTTGATTTTCTTTTCTTTTCGTTGCATTGCATTTTGTTTGGTAATTTGTGCATGCCACAATAGAGAAATTTTTTATAGTCTGAAAGATAAAAGAACGTTGCCGTACATCTAGGTCTACGTTATCTACCAAATCATGAGTTTCATGTATTAACTCAACTTTCCAAAATTAATTCTACTGATCCTTTGGTTCTGTTAATGGTGATTCTTTCTGGCGTTGCAATCTTTGATTTCCTTAAAATGGAAACAACATTGGACATGCTTCCCTATTTTAAGTTTTGTTTCATATTGTCTAGTATGTCCTTTTTGTGTCACATGCACATTTCATTTCTTCTTTCATCTGGAGCCATTGTGGCTCTTCTAACAACTCAGACAATTTTGAACAAATATATATATATTATTTTATATCTAATTCTTCATAATACAATTAGGTATGTCAAAGAAACCTATAGCAAACTTTTTTACATAGTTCTTTAGGACATTGTGCCCCATCATCTGATTATGTGCTAGAGACTTTTTTTGGGGGAAGGGGGAAGATGTTTGGCTTAGGTCCAAATTTGTCTCATGGCTTGAGGCTCTAATCTTGGACCTAACTATTCGGGATTTAAATTTTCTTTGAGCTTATGTGCTAGATACCAATTCCAGAGGACAAAAAATATAGGTACATAATTTGGATCATCAGCCTAAAGTCCTGAAGATTGAATGACCTCCATATGGCCTACTTTGGATCATTAGCCTAAATTTGAAGATATTCTGCCCATTTTTCGGTTTTGTGGCTGTGGGAGGATATAATTTTATCGTATTATTGAATGATTTGGCCCTATATGCAAACAACTTTTAATGTGAAAAAAAGTACCGTAATAGATAGATGTCTTAACAAATATATTCCATTTTAAAATTTGTTATTTGATAAATATTCATTGATGCATAAAAATTTCTCACAAGTTCAAGTAATGAGTATATACTTAAAACCGTTCTTTTTATTTTTTAAGAAAAAAAAAATCCTTAAGACCATATTTGAAGCATTGTCTTGTGAAAAATGGAAAAATATTTCGAGTATGGAAATGTAGACACTTGAAAAGAAATAGACTTGAGAAATGGTGGATATACCAAAAAGCAACAAACCAGTGGGACGTAAATGAGTTTTCTCAATCAAATATAAACATATGAAACAATCGAGAGATATAAAGCGTGATTGGTGGTAAAAGTGATGCGGAACTCGAGGATCAAAAATTACATCTAGAACCCCACATATACATTTAGCATAGATAACTCAGAACTCTAAACAAATCTTCCCTATCAAACCCACAATTAACTTGTAATTGAGAACTTATGTGATTGAGATGAAAGAAGCAAGAATCAATAAACGCCATAAGATAATTTGATAAGTTAAATTCAATTCTTGATGCAAAAAGAATAAGAATTTTCACTTGTTAGTGTTCTGCTAAAGGTAATAAAATTTATTCAATAATCAAAGTACGTCATATTACGTTGAAAATGAAATATTTAGTGTAAAACACCTAAATTCTGCCAAGGATTCATAAATAGATGATATAGGACAACATGAACAGAATTTAATTATATAGAAAATGATCTAGAATAATATGATATTAAATGGCTTTGGAAAACATGGTATTAAATAATATAGTAAAACATGATAAATGACTTAGGACAATATGATCAGAATTTAATTATCTAGAAAATAACCAAAATGATCTTAAACATTCATTCTAAATTCTGCCCACACATTTGGACGAAATTAATGATTTTTTTTAACTCCTTTGATTCTTCAAACAGTCCACATGTGCTAAGTTTTTGTTGTATTTATTTTTGTACCAAGTTTTGGAATGTATGTCTTAATTTCTTGACTTGAAATTTTGTGATTGGATTAACTGGCATTGTAATCTTTTCTTCATGCTTATCTTTAATGCCTTTCGAACCCATACCCGCATCATTCCCTTATTTAAAAGGATTCATTCTCAAATCTGCATCCATATGAAAAGGAGAAAGATTAGAACGTTAAAAATAGCAGATTGAGAATACTCATCAGAAATATCAATCCAATAAGCATTATCATTGTTTTCTTCAACACTTGAAATAGTCCATCGCCTCTCAAATCCAGCTTTGACTTCCTTTGTTTTCGAAATCTTTCATTGCGTATATGTACCCAAACTCAATCTCCAGAAACTTCAACTTGTTTTCGCCCTTTATTAGCCTTTTGAGTATAAACTTGGTTCTTCTTTTTAATCTGCTCACTTGCATTCTCATGGATAGGTTTAACCATTTCAGCCTTTTTCTTACCATCTAAATTAGAAATTTCACTTAAAAGTAACGACATTAAATCTAAAACAATTAATAGATTAAAGCCATACATAATTTCAAAAGGTGAAAAACCTGTAGAAGAATGAATAGAACGATTATATGCAAACTCAATGAATGACAAACAATCTTATCAAGTTTTTAAATTCTTACCAATAATAACATGCAAAAAAATTTCAAAGTTTTATTAACAAATTTAATTTGACCATTAGTTTGTGGATGACAAGTAGTAGAATACAAAAGTTTAGTTCCTAATTTACCATACAAAGTTTTTCAAAAAATGACTCAAGAATTTAACATCACGATTAGAAACAACAAGTTTAGGTACACCATGTAACCTTATTATTTCTCTAAAGAATAAATCAGCAATGTTTGTTGCACGTCAGTTTTGTGACATGCAATGAAATGTGCTAATTTACTAAAACTGTTAACTACAATAAATATACTATCTTTATCTTTTTCTAATTTTAAGCAAATCTAACACAAAATCCATAGAAATGTCAGTTTAAGGTTGAGTAGGAATTAACAATGAAATGTATAAACCATGCGGTTTGGACTTAGACTTAGCTTGTTTACATGTAGTATAAAATGAACAAAGTTTCTCAACATCCTTACGTATGTTTGACCAATAAAAATGCTTAGTTAGAATGTTGAATGCACACCAAAATGACCCATTCATCGCCCACTATGAGACTCATGAACAAGCAATTCACGCAATGAACATGTAGGCACACACAATTGTTTTGCACGAAATAAAAATCCATAATGCTTATAAAACTTATCAAATGCAGCATGTTCACAAACAACATAAACATTGCAAAAATCAGAAGTAGTAGCATACATATAATTGAGTTGCTCAAATCTTAACAATTTAGAAGTAAGTGTAGAAATTAAAGCATACTTTCTAGATAATGCATCTGCCACTACATTGTCTTTACCTTACTTGTAACAAATCACATAGAGAAACGTCTCAATAAACTCTATCAACTTTGCATGCCTTTTATTCAGTTTTTCTTGCCCCTTTAAGTGCTTGAGAGACAAACTCTATCCACAAATTCATTTGCAAGTAAATAATGTTGTCACACTTGCAGTGCACGAACTAAAGCATATAACTCTTTGTCATAAGTAGAATAGTTCAATGGTGCTCTAGTTAATTTTTCACTGAAATATGCAATTGGACGTTTATCCTGCATCAAAACAGCTCCAATATCTATTCCAGAAGCTTCACATTCAATTTAAAATTTTTTAGAAAAATCTGGTAAACAAAGAACAGGTGTAAAACACAATTTATCTTTCAAAGTTTTAAATGCTTGCTCTTGCTCTTCTCCCCATTTAAATCCAACCTCCTTTATAATTACTGCAATTAAAGGAGCAAGAATATTTGAGAAATTTTTCACAAATCTCTTGTAAAAACTAACCAGCCAATGAAAACTCCTTACATCAGACACATTCTTAGGTGTTGGCCATTCTTATATAGCTTTCACTTTGTCACTATTAACCTCAACTCCTTTTCTACTAACCACAAATCCTGAAAACACAACTTGATCATGCAAAAAGTATATTTTTGTAAGTTAGTAAATAGTTTTTCCTTTCTCAAAACTTCTAGAAGAGTTAACATGCACAAGATGACCATCCAAAGACTTGCTATAAATTAGAATATCATCAAAATAAACCACAACAAACTTTATAAAAAATTCATGCAAGACTTGATTCATTAACCATGTGAATGTAGTAGGTGCATTACTTAAACCAAATAGCATAACCATCAGCTCATGCAAGCCATATTTAATTTTGAATGCAATCTTTCATTCATCACCTAATTTCATGCGAATTTGGTGATATCTACTTTTCAGGTCAATTTTTGTAAAAATACATGCACCATGCAATTCATCTAATATGTTATCTAATTTAGGAATAGGATGACGATACTTTACAATAATTTTATTGATTGCACGATGGTCAACAAGCATCCTCCATGATCCATCTTTCTTTGGAACTAGCAGCACAGGAATTGTACATGGATTCATGCTCTCTCTTACATGCATTTTTGCCAAGAGTTCATCCACTTAGCTTTGGAGTTATTTTGTTTCATCTGGATTACTCTTATATGATGATCTATTAGGAATTGCAAAGTTAAGAATGACATCAATTTGATGCTCAATACTTCTTAAAAGTGGTAATCTATTTGGCATTTCATCAAGAAACACATATTCAAACTCCAGCAACAAAGAAACAATCATATTAAGGGAATTTGGATTAAGGTTAGTTTTAGGGAAATAAAGCTCTCTAAACCTAAGGACTATTAAAACTCTCTTGCTTGCATAAGCACTCTTTAATTCCCTCTCCTTTGAATATAAATCTAGTTTGTTTTCACTCTTTTCTTCTCTCATTATACTTTTCTCTCTTGCACTTGCCTTTTTCTTTTTTCACTAGTGCAATCATTCACCAATGGGCTATTACTTTTTCTCTTTTCTTTTCCTGCCTCTTTTCCCTCATTTCTTTTGCTTCCCTCACTACCTGAATTTCCATTTGAAGTTTGAATCATTTTTATTTGATCCTTACACACTTTTGAAGGAGATATTGACACAAGTATG